TTTAAAAAATTGCAAGAAAGATACCAGCGTTGGCTTTAACAAATTTTAAACATTTTCAACCCTACTTTTCTAGAACCTTATTTTAAAGCCGTGATAAAAAAAATCCTTTTTATTCAATATGAATTCTGGATTTGAAAAGGATTTATTTTTTGTGCCCCGTCGTTTTTTTTTTTCTTTTTAAATCAATTTTTTTCCAATCCGGGATTCGTAATCAGACCAAATAATACTTAATCTTCTGACGTCTGGAGAGTAAAAAATATATATATTTGAAAATTTAATTCCTTTTCCAGCAACACATTGGCAGTGGATAAAAACCCTAATTAAAAGTGACTATTTCAAAAATAAAAAAGTTTTAGTGAAATATTTAAAAATTTTTAAAGGAAGAGAGAAAAAGATTAATCCATTTCTTCGCCTTCAAGAAAATAATTATTGCGCCTGGCATGTTGGATTATTTGAAACTAAATATTTCAAGATCTATAAGGACCATCGTATGTAAGGTAAAAGTGTTTTCAATTAATTAACACTTCTCAGCTTCTATATATAATGGAATTTTTGCACATTGAAAAAGCTGTAGTATTAAAAGCAACAACTTTCAAATCTTATTTTGGTATAAAAGAATTAATTAATAAATTTAAATACTGCACTAAAAAGAAGATTTTTATCTTAATTATTTTTCGACTTTTTAGTCTTTAATTTATAATTCATCTTTAACAATAATATAGGAAATAATATTTTCACAAATTCCATTGCATGTGGCGTTTCTCTTATCGAGTCAAAATTTAAATAAATTAATCGATTAATTGATATTTAATTTCTGAAAATATTAGAATAATGTGCTGTCATTAAGAACACACAAGCGTGCAAAATTTCAAAGGTTTAGCACATTTGGAACTGTACAAAAATATATATATCAATATTCCTTCTTTACAAATATGAAACAAGTGAAGTAAAATAAAAGTGCGTAAAAATGCATGGGAAAAGAAGTTGCTATGCGATATACATTAGGGTGGATCGAAAATTCAAAGTGTGGATAAAATAATCGGCGTAGGGTGCAAAAGTTGTCTTTTAAGTGTACTAGCATACATGCAAAACTTTTCAACTTTGTTTAATATCTATCGGTGCCCCAAGACAATTAAATATTTAAAAATACGATTTTTATACAAATTTCGAATTAAAAATTATAAAAAATGCCTTAAAGAAACGATTTTAAAGGGAAAAACATATAGGAGAGGGCGAAAGAATGATAAAAGTAACCCCCCCCCCAAAAAAAAATTGGAAAATTATCGTAATGAAAAAATATCGTGTTTGTTCGATATCACATTTTGTAAGTGTACGAATTTCAATACCTGTAAATGCCAAAAAGACATGAAAATTCCATTTCCTGAGCGATTGTTTATAAAAGATCAAAGATTAGAGAGAAAAATGGTTATTGGAGGAGTGGACTTAATTGAGACTAAAAAAAAAGAGAAAAGGGAAAAAGAAAACAGATGGAAGACAAAAGAATAAAACGTAAAATGGTTAAAATTGATGCTGCTCATGCTCAATCAATGACGCTACTTGATCTCAACACTTTGTCTTCGTCCTCGTATACAGATACGGATGCCATTACCTTGGAATATCAATCACAAAATTGTTTAGATTTCTCTTCTTCTTTATCAAGAGAATGCGATCGATACGGAATTTCAGATAGAGCAGCTGCTTCAATTACCAGTGTTGTTTTACAAGACATTGGAATTGCACACGAAGGAGAGACTTCGTATGTGGTAGATCGCAATAAAATTCGTAGACAGCGCAAAAAGCTTCAAAATGCAGTTGCAGAGTCTACTAAGTTAACAGTGTCTTGGTCTCTTTTAACTGGATTATATTTCGATGGTAGAAAAGACAACTCAAAGGTGCTAATTAAGAAGGACACAAAGCACTACGCAAAGACCACGAATAGGAGCATTATACCCTTGTAAACGAACCTAATTCTCTGTACATCGGACATGTTACTGCTGCAACAGGAGGAGCTAAAGCAATAAAAAAAGCAATGCTCAATTTTTTTTGTATAAAATAATATGCAATTAAATGGACTAACAGTAATTGGTTGCGGTGGAAGAAATGTTAATACTGGACAAAAGGGAGGTATTATTAGCTTTATGGAACTGGCCTCAATAGACCTTTACAGTGGTGCATTTGATTACTTCAAACAAATGAGTTACCTCTACGTCACCTACTAATTTCTTTGGATGGTGCAACAACTGGTTCTAAAGAATTTTGTCAACCAATTGGTAAAGCAATCAAAACCTGCAAGGAGCTATTTGTAGCTCCTTTTTCTTCCACAACTGTGGAGAATATGGCAGATAATACAGATAGAATGGTTCTCAGCAATGATAAGCAACATCTATATAATATTTTCCTAGCGATATCACTTGGTGAATGTTATTCTGACCTGGCATTAAGAAAGCCTGGTCCAGTTTCTCACTCTAGGTGGCTAACAATTGCAGGTAGAATTTTAAGATTGTATTTGGGCACAGAAAAACCATCTGACAATCTTATTATTTTTGCAACATATATTATTAATGTATATGCAACCTGTGTATGATTCCATGTCAAGACAAACTCCTCCATAACAGAAGGAGTGCGGCATATTTGGAGACTTACCTCTTTTTCTAGATATTTGGAACCCAATTTAAGAAATATAGTAGACACTTTTATTCTACGGAATAGCTTTTTTTGTCATCCTGAAATTTTTCTATTGTCGATGTTTACAGATAACAGAGAGAATATAAAGTCTTTGGCGCTTTGAAAACTAATTTGTGCTAGAAATGAAAACAGGATCATCAGAATAAGAATTTTTCAAGTACCAAAAATAGTCTTTAAAGCAAAGGATTATTTTTCACTTATTAACTGGCAACGAGATGGGCCTTTTGAACCACCTCTTTTGATGAATGTGCCATTTAAAAAAATTGAGGCCATGGTAGAAGTTAGAAAAACGGAGGAATGGTCAAAATATCTATGCCATACCCAAGCTGTAGAAAGATGTTTTCGCTTAGTGTCTGAAGCGTCGGAAAGTGTATATGGAGAAGAGACACAGCTTCATATTGAAAAGGATACAATCAAGAAGTCCTATCAAGCATTATAATACCAAAAAGGATTACAGCCTTTAGAAATATGTAAATCTTCAAACAAATCAAACAAATAAAATTTTTAAAAAATCTATTAAGTAAGTTCACTTTTTACAAGTTTTGTGATTTATTGCTTTGACTATCAAATTTATACTTCATGTATTATTATAAAATTATAATTATTTATAAGTTTATACTTTAATACGTGAATAATCTGCCAATTTTTCAAATATTTTTCATTAATTCACAATTTTTAATAGATATTTGTAAAAATGTCAATTTTTATCTGTTTGGGGGGCTTTAAGGCCACCAGAAGATATGAATGAACTTTAATAATAATAAAAAAACGCAAATTAATATACCCAAAACAAAACTTTCTTACCTGGCGCTAAAGGAAATTTTGAAAATATTTTTTTATAAATTTCCCCCCAAAAATGTCATTTTTAACTATTTTTGGAGCACTTGGGGCACTGGAAGATATGAATGGATTTCAATAAAAAAAATATATGTAAACTAATATACCTAAGACACAACTTTTCCACCCCATGCCAAAAATAATTTCAAAACAAAACAAAAAATTGTAAATTTTGATAAAAAATTCAATTTTTAACTATTTTTGAGGCCCTTGGGGCACTGGAAGATATGAATGAATTTCAATAAAAAATATATATAAACTAACATACTTAAGACACAACTTTCCAGCCCCATGCCAAAAATAATTTCAAAAAAAATTTTTTTCCTATACTTTTCGATCTACCTAATATACATTGTGAAACGATCTATATATATATATATATATATAATGAATTTTCGAATGTTATAAATGATTGTTCAATGTCTCAGAAGAATCGATTATGTTAAAAGAGGTCTTTTGCATTCTCGGCAGAAATTACATTTTTATTTTCTCTTTTAATTTAGGAAGGTGAATGCATCTTTGGTTTAATAGTGGGGCTTCTACCATTCAAAGTCACGTTTTGGTACAGCATCAAAGTTTGCATGTAATGACAGAAGAAAACTTCTTCGCAGAAGAGCTAGCACTTGTCTGTTAGATGTCAGAATTTCCCTTTTAACAACAGGTATAGCAGAGAAAAATAGATACGTTTTATTTTAGATTTTGAAAAAAAAATTACACCGGTAGATGTCTAAGTAAACTCATAAGCAAATAACCAACTATTATTTTTAGTTACTTAAGCCAGTGGTTTTACACTATTTCAGAAATATAATTATTTCAGAAATTTAAAACAAAAATTCTGCTTGAGAAATGAGTTCTTCAGGAAAATTTTTCAAAAATTTAATGCAATACACAACTTTTAATATTATTTTTTCGCTTTAAATGATATCTTTATTTTTGTAGAAATTCAGTGTAATTTTATATAGTGATTATTTTCATAACCATTCAGTTTAGTTATATTAACGTCCCGTTTTGAAGCAACACGAGGGCTAGTTTGGGACGGACCTCGTGATTTTGAGCCGCGGTCGGATGACGAGGACGGTACCTGGGCTGGCGCCCCCTCTCCGATCTTCCGCGCTGTACCAGCGGGACTGTGTTTGGCCACTGCGTATGATTTAGAGTGCAGCAGGTCCCTTACGCGGCGGATGATCGGTGGGATCGGGTTTCGGGCCTGGGGTCCTCTGGCCTCAAAGAATACAAATAGTGAACGTATATCACTCTTGACCTGAATTGATACCAATGTTGATTCTGGGGTATGAATCCAGATGAATTAGACTCCTCTGCGCCCGGCGGATATTGCAACCTGCACGTCATCTAATCTGAGTCCTGATTGATGACGACTTTTTTGCCAATGGCCATACCAGGTTGAAAACACCGGTTCTCGTAGACTGTATATCCATAGGTCACTGGTTCTTCTGTTCGAGCCCACAAGGGGCGCCATTTTCCCAGTAGCGCAATTGGCTAGCGCACGGTACCTATAATGTCGATGTTGTGAGTTCGTGCCTCACCTGGGGAAGTTATTTTTCTCCTTAGTGCTTTTTAGGGCATCCGTTGTGAGCCACCAGTATTACAAGCAAAAGTCTATTTAATTTAATACTTGGAACCGTTAAATGACACTGAGAACAGTGCTATCATTATTACCTCAAATTATATCTCATTTAAATGTACATACTTTACTATTAATCATCAATATCCAACAATGGATAATTCATTCCGACAATTTGGTTCATAAAATCTCTTTATAGTCGAAAGGCATCAAACGTTGAGTTATTTGGAATAATATTCCAAAAATATATATTCTTCTTTTAAAACCCCATAGTTCTTTCTAGTTTAAGTTAATGAGATTTGTTGATGTTTTCTGTGTATTTGTTCTGTCTAAAACTATTTTTCATTTCAGCATACATATTTTTCCATTGAAGTACCAATGTGGAACCAAACTACAAAAAAATTCTATGTAAAATAATTGTAGATCAAACACATGTATAACAATTTGTACTACTCAACGTAGAGTTTTTTTTCTTGGAATTAATAGATATTCTCTACGCACACTCATCCAAACTGCAAATTGGAGATCTTTATCTGTGGAGGCAGGGGTGGGTGATGTAGCGTGAAATAAATTTCTTAAAATCATGCCTCTTCATGAACAATAGATGAAACATAGCATTCCCTTACATTTCAGAAAATGAAGAGTATTGCTTTTTTCGAATGTTATACTGGCAAAAAAAGCATTATTTTGTTTATTATTTAACATCCTCAAATTCAGAGTTTTACCATTTAGAATTTTTTTCTGAATACTTATCTTTAGAAATATTTCTGATTTTTAGTACAAACATTTCAAATAGCCTTTTGGGTGGTTTTGGTGTTCTAATTCATTGCAATCTTTGCATAACTTTCAAAGACCGCATTAATGATTTGAACAATTTCATAACTTTCTACCGTAATCAATTCCGATGTGAGTTGTATTGGATGTTGTCAGATCTCAGTTTCCTTAGAGCTGGATAATTTCCTTTATAAAATTTAAATTCTTACAAGTTATTATTTTGTATTAGAATTATCTTCTCAACAAATTTGAACTAAATGAACAAGCCTTCATGATAGAGTATAATGTATACAGAATCTGGCAAATGCGCTGCAATGAGCATGATTTTAAGGAGATGTTACTGGAAACCATCTCTTTTTATACTTATTTCTTTCGAAGCTATATAAGTTATATAAAATATATTCCCCATTCTCTTCTTTTTGGTTTTTTTTGTAAACACCGGAAGCACCTTTCCTTCTTTTTCTCCCTGGGGCCTCTCCCTTCAGTAGGAACGTAACTCGGTTAACCTTTAATGACTTTACATACTGACAGTGGTGTACCGAGAGTAAGTGCCATTCGGATCACACTATGATTATTTTTCCCATCTCCTTCATCGTGAGAGACTTAACTTGGATAAACGGCGCCCTGGACATGTCATTTTTCGACTCTTTATTGAATTTGACTTTAAAAAGTGACACAAACATATGAACATTTTGCAAGCATGGTCAGTGGCGCAGCGTGTGTAAGTGGCGCCTTTTGGCGTCAGTGACAGGGTCAGAACAAATGACCCTCGGGACCTGGTATTATTTTTATGCCCTCAAATCATATTTTGCATTAAAACTGCCATAATTTCAGTAATGTTTTGTCTCCATGGCGCCCCTAAAACTGGCATCTGCGGCATCCATACTTCCCTTACTCCCTGGTCATTACGTCGCTGCACACTGATTAGGATCATTCAAAAATTTGTGTAATTTAAACGAAAAATCGCGTAGAAACTCAATTAACGTCATTGGATATTTGAGGGCATATTAAAAGCTACGAAATAAAAACAGAAGTTAAGTACATGCTACGAAATAACAGAGGATGTAAGAAGTCTACTTTGGAGTCAATGATCAAAGAAAGCAATATTTTCTTAACTTTAAAAGTAGTAAAAACACATGAATAAAGGATTACATGAAACAATAAATTGATCTGAATTTGATTTTATAACAATAGAAGGCATTGTTGCAAATTGAGTTTAAAATGAATTCTGTAATGTTTATTAAAATTGGAGAAAACCTTGTACAAAAATTAAATTGATATCATAACAAAGATATTTTTTGTTCCTTTAGGTGGTGTTCCTTTCGTTATTTAATTAAATAAATAAGAATATAAGTCGAATTTTAAAATAATTTTTACGGCGTAAGCGCCCTCCAATGCTAATCCATCATTGTACCAAATTTGGTCGCCGTAAGTCCATCGGTGTGGACGTGCATAAAGAACCAAAACCGAACAAGCACACACACACATACTTCCCTCTTACATATATATATATAGATTTCTGCACGTTAAACAAATTACTTACCTACGCATTCGAAAGAAACTAAACTATGGAAGCATTAACTTTTGGAAGAATCATAAAATCGATTATTAATATATTTCCTTCATGCGCCTTAATTTCAATAAAAACAATTGTCTAAAATTACCAAAAAGTTATGTATGGAGGATTTAAAAGACGTAAATCACAAGAAGCCACCACCCTCTCTGCCTAAGCATCCGGGGAAACTTAAATGACCGTCCGCCACATCTTCGGGCATTGTGACCCCAACATATTGGCCCCTATTACGAGTGGCTCGTGCGACAACCCCCCGTTTTTCCGTAGATGCGCCCAAAAATCTCCTCACTCCACTAAAGTAGGTAACATTATAATCAATATTCATCAACTAATGAAAGTAATGCAAAATATACTTCTAAATTTCTAATCTAGAAGCAATAAAAATGTGAAGCTTGCAAGCTGATGGATTGAAAAACTCTTCATGATTGATTCATATTCATATCCGAATATTGTATACTATAAAACGCACACACAATTTCAATCTGAGTTATTGAATTTATGGAGTGCGTTAAAATTTATTTAATCCCGTCATATATTGTAACACAACTTTGGTATTTAAATTACACATCCATCCTCAAAGTACTACATGCGATACAAAAACATCTCTGCTTTTTTCAACATATTTTTGCTTCCCATTATATTTTAATTTATCATTTGCAGTACATTATCCATAGAAATTCAATTTGCACAGTTTATTTTAAATAATACATAATTTAATCAATTCTTTTCACACAAATCCATAGGCTGATCTCATAACCAAACTACAACTTTTCCTAACTTGATGAGGAGAATTAAGTCTGAAGAATTTTTTCCCCCCTCTGTTTCCATCAACGCACCTGAGCTAAGACCCGGAAGATATTAAATATGCGTGTGATGGAGAAGTTTGTGTTAGTGGAAATTAACTCCCTTCAATCAATAAGCGGAATTAAATGCCATGACAGCATAAAAGTTTCCAGGATGTCATATTTCTTGAAAATATCTTCCCGTAATCATGCCAAACTGCTAAGCCATTATGATGTCATTAGGGGTGACGGTTGAGCCACAAGCTTGGGGTAATACAGCAGCGAGTCCAGTAATGATATTCGGATCCCACCATTTTTATTGCAAATTTTTTCAAGGAAACTTTACCTGCTCGCTAATGGAAAAGTTATGAGGATAGATTCTTTGGACTTCATAAAAATTGTTTTGCTACTGTTTGTTCTAGGTTTGTAATTGTGTTATCTTAACATAGGAGGATATAATTAGATAACGTTTATTTAATTTATAGTGTCTCGTTAAGGAACTGTATTTCGTATTTGGCATTACTTTCTTGTTTGAAAACTCATATTAAAATCATTCTCTTTCAGTTGTTTTTTTCAAATATCAGAAAAAAATTATGAATGATTTACTAAAAGATTTGACTGAATAACGGGGTTACTCCAAAAACATTTCTTTCTTTTGCATAAAAATTTATCTCTCTAACTTTTTTCAGTTATTGTCTCTGGAACTACTTTCATTGAAATTATCAATAATTTATCATTTTTAATCTATCAAACTCAAGGATCAAAAATTCCAAAACGTTTGAGAAGAGCAAATATCTGAACAAAGTGTTAAAGAAAAATTGCTCGACAATAAATGTTTCTATGTCCATTAATTTGCCTCTAATCTTTAAAGTGTATAATTGCTGGAATTAGAATTTCAATAAGAGAAACTTCTTCAGTCCATTCAGTTCAAAACGTATCCTAACGCAATCTATAAGCGTAAAAATAAAGTTTAACGTTAGGAGGCTCGACGATAAAGAAATAAATATATTTTATATGTTTCGTAGCGGATTAAATCGGAAAAGATTTAATTTGCACCTGAAATTGAATATGCCAATTTGAAAATTATTTATTTAGTACAATTTTGGATGTGAAGATGTCCCCTTTTATGAACATAATTGCATGCATTTTAGTGAATTTTCTTCGAAGGTGACAGAGTTTAGGATTTATTTGGATGATTCAGGTTTTTAGGTGCGATAATTATTTCTAAATAACAGCGTTCGTGTACGTGTTTGCTAGAAAGCACAACAGGAAATGTTTTAAAATGATTAGTTAAATGTAATTTGCTCTTCAGTTACGTTCGAAAATTTTAAAAAAATAACACGGCAGATATTAAAAGGGCAAAAAATGTGAATTTCTTTGTTGTATATAGTTCTCTATTTCCATTTGTGTCGAAATGTTTACGATATTTAACTTTAAAATTAATATTATTTTATTTTCAACCGTTTATCGCTGATAAAATGTTTCAAAATATTTCAATCGCACTTCAAGTAATCTCTGTTCACTTTGACCTTGTTACAAACAATTTATTTCAGTGATTAATTTGTTTCTCGCCGGATGAAAAATATCAAACATAAGGACATTAAATTTTTCTGTGGAGTTGAAATTAAGTAAATAATTCTATCCTGAATGAAATGATAACATATTGCGTTATATTTCCTTTTAATTTCTATTAACTTTGCCTTCTTATCAAAATCATAAAAATCATCGAAAGAACCAAGGAGAACATTCATTGGTAGTTAAACGAAAACAAGTGATACAAAAAAATTTTTAAAGTCAATTCCTACTTAGGTCAATAAATTCTCTCACATACACACTTTCCA